CGATTATTTTGAATAGACAATAATTATTTGAAATTCTTAGATGAAAAAAAAAATCAAATCGGAAACTTACAAATTTTGCAGGTCCTCGAAAAGGTGTACAATGGAGACAAGGAATGGGTGGAATACGAGATGGCCGAGATCATAGCCTTCAATGAGGACCAGCAAAAGGAAAATGAAAAGACGCATTCTTCAGGTTTAGTGATCTGGCGCATCTTGAAAACTCCACATGTCCTCAAAGCCTGTTTCATCGGAAGTATGCTCCAAGCCTTCCAACAATTGGCTGGAATCAACACCATCTTGTACTACACAGCAGATATTATCAGGTCATCTGGAATTTCTAATAATCATACAACGATCTGGATTTCCGTGGCTCTTTCCGTATGTAACTTCATTGGACCTTTCATCCCAATGAGTTTGATTGAACGCGTTGGAAGAAGAATCATTTTCTTGTTCTCCTGCGGATTGGTGGTGCTTTCATTGATCTTCATTGGTGTAGCCTTCCTTCTGGTCAATCATGATTCGGCGGCGACGTTCCCAGGCAACCAATATGGTACTAACTTCAATTCTTCTTATCCAGATGCCAAAGGATGTATGGCTTATACGTAAGTTTCTCTAAAACAATTGTATTGAAAAATGCCATAATACTTTTTCAATTTGTGTAAAATTTTCAGAATGTACTAAACAAAACTAGATCTTCATTTTTCTAGTTGACAACTTTTTTGAAAAATCGCTCCTAAGAAAGATATGCCAATTAGAAGATGTCATATTTTTTTTTGCTACTGCTCTTCGGTTTTGGTACTGCTAATCAGTAGCAAAACAGAAGACTCTTCCACTTAGCGTATTTCACTTGAATTAAGCCGTATCAAAAAGTTGTTAACTACAAAAATGAAGCTCCATTTTTGTTCTGTACGCTCAAGAAGTTTCAGTCGGATCTAATAAAAATTAATGATTTTTAGGGTTCCTGAAGTAAGCCAATTTTTCTAGTTTTTCAATTGTTGAATAATCGTGCTTCTACTGAATACCTACTTTTCCAGAAACTGCGACTTTTGCGTCACCACCGATGCATGCGGATTCTGCCACGACGCCAATACCAAACAAGGATACTGTCTACCGGCATCGTCAGACAACCCGGAAGACTACTCGAGTACAGGATCGTGTACTTCAGTGAATGGTAAGTGTACTTTTAACATACACCTACGCATTTAAAAATTTTAAAAACACAGAAAAAAAATATGGGCAATGATGTCGTAACCCTTCTTTTTATTATGTAAATCCTGTACAAAGTTCTTTTGGAAAAGAAGAGATGGTAACTTTTGATGATCGGATGTTTTTTGACTTTTGGAAAGAGGAAACGAAAACGTTCGGAGTGTTCAGAGTGATGTCATAAATGTCGATATCCGGACAAATCGATAAGCTTACAGACCATTCCTTTTTAGTTTGTCTCAGCAGATTCAAAAATTGGGCTAGTACATAACTTCACCGATTCGGCGCTTTAACTTTTGTCTACTTTTATCAGATTTCTGCTCATCAGATGCGTCTTACAATTCTGATCTCAAAAATACAAATTTCATGGAATTTGAATGAAAACTAAGCGAGTTATGAGCGTTTAAAGTTTTAGTACAGTGCATTTTACTACTGCCACGCTCAACTTTGCTACTGCCAAGCAGTACCAAAATCCAAATTTACACCTGCCCAGCTGAAAAGGACGGCTTCTTCCACGTGGCATATCTTTCTTGGGAGCGATTTTTCAAAAAAGTTGTCAACTACAAAAATGAAGATCTAGTTTTGTTTAGTGAACTCTGAAACTTTCAGACAAATCGAAGAGTTTTAAGACTTGTTCCAGGAGCCTTGTTTTCGCTACTGGTTGACTATTACTGACCAGTTATGGTCATAGTTATGTTTGTAAGTGGTCAGTTATAAAAATCCGCTTATAAAAAATGTAAACAACATTTGATGTTCATTTTGTTGGTCATCGAGCCTGGTCCTCAATTAGGCCAAATAAAAAAAGAAGTGCAATAAATCAATTTCCTATGTAAAACTTGAAGTTTGAAGTTTCTATGAAAGTCCTATGAAGAACAAATTTTTGAGATTACCCCAAGTTTTTCAAAATCAAAAAAAAAAGCCAACTAACTCCAAAAATTCTACAGGCTCCATTTCAAACAACTTCCAATGGGAGAAATACTACTGCGACACCAAATTCACAATTCTGCCAATCATTGCCTGCGGTGTCTACCTTCTAACCTTCTCCTCTGGATTCACATCTCTTCCATGGGTCCTGAATTCGGAATTCTATCCAATGTGGGCCAGATCCACGTGTGTCTCCATCTCAACAACATCCAACTGGGTATTCAATTTGATCATTGCGTTGACCTACTTATCGTTGACACAAGTTATCGGCAAATATGGTGCATTTTGGCTGTACGCTGGGTTGACCATCATTGCTTTTGTGTTTATTTTGTTCTTGGTGCCTGAAACAAAAGGATATTCTATTGAAGAGGTGAGATATTTTTGAGGTCCCGTACTAGATAAGGAATAACTTTAAGGTCAATAAGTACCCTCGAAAAAGCACTATTTGGAAAAAATTGAATTTTAGAATTCAAATTTTTCAACTCTCCTAACTTCTTTCATTCCTGATCGATTTTCTTGAATTTAGGCTCAAAATTTAGCTGAATCCTCCTAGAAAATTATGTACGCCTTTAAAAATTCAAATTTCCAGGTTGAAATGCTATTTATGAACAAAAAACAACGGAGAGAAGCGGAGACGCGTCGACGAGAAACGGTGACGGAAGTGAGGAGTCGATTGAATAGTACAGTGTCCTTTGGTGGACAACTACAAGTGCATAAATATTAATTTTTCCCTTTTTTTGTTAAATTTTTGAGTGGATTTGGGAGGATTTGATGTTGAATGTTATACATTCTTGAGAAATTTGTAATTATATTTTGCCAATTTTTGGGTCATTTTTTGAAAAAAATGAAGATTTTAAAAAACTTTAATTTGTGAAACAAAAATAGGTCAAACATTTGAAATGATTCAAAATAGACAAATTATGAAAATTTGGTTTTTTTTTCAATTTTTTTTTCAAATTTCAAAATCAGTGGTTTCAAAAAAACGGAAAGTCTAAAATATTTGAAAACTCTGAATATCAAGAATTGCAGGAAATGTGAAAATTCTAAACAAATCAATGAAAATGTTTCTGATAATCCAGGTACTCCAGAAGGTTCCAACAATTTCGAAAATTCAGAAGTTCAGAAATTCCAGAAAATCCAAAAAAAGGAAATTTTATAAATTTAAAAATACCAGATGGCTCTGAGATTTTGAAAATTTATAAATTCAATAATTCCAGAAAGTTCAAAAAGACATAAAAACCACAGAATTTCCAGAGATTTCAGGAAATTCAGAAATTCAAAAATTGAGGAATTTCAGGGTTTCGAAAATCATCAGAATATGATAATTCAGAATTTTCAAAAAATTAGAAATTACAAAAAAACCGAACTTCTGACTTTTAGAAGTGTCTCAAAAATTATGAAAATTCTAGAAATCTTAAGAAATAACATTCGAAAATTTACAGAATATAAAAATTCAGATCTTCTAACTTTCAGAAAAGTCTCAAAACTTTCAAAAAGATTTCAGAATTTTGGAAATTCCTCCAAATCCTTGATCTTTTGGAATTGATCTGCACATTCTCTCTCACTGCATAACTTTTAAAAATCACCACAATCCAAAACCTAATTCCAAAAAAAAACCGGTCTCACAAAAAAGTTACAGTTACAGGGTCAGGGGGTTTCCCCAAATAGATCACCACCAGATTTGAATATACTTAACGACCCGTAACATTGTTCATTTTTACAGGCTGCCGTTTATTAAAAATCACCAATCCGCTCAAAAGAACTGTCAATTTTTTCCCCGCGAAGTAAATTTATGCAGTGGACTTGGTGTCTCTTCCGAATAGGTTAAAGAGTGGGCGGAGCCTAAAATGCCCCTATAAAGTGGCCAGGGTCTTTCAAATTTTTCAGAATTCCCATTCTCTTTTAACATTCAAATCTAAAAAAGCAACTTTCTTGTAATCTGAAAAAAAGAAAATGGTCGCAATTGAATTCAAAGTGTCTGAATCAGGACGAGCCCGGCCCGAGAAGAACCCGAAATTGGGATTTTTCGTCTACCTCCTTGGATCCGCTGCTATTATTGGCGGATTCTTATTCGGATATGATACATCTGTAGTCTCGGCGGCAATGCTCTATGTGCCAGAAGCTCCAGGACTCAAGCCAATGGGAACTGTTTGGAAGGAAGTGATTGTTAGTATTACGCCAGGTAAGATTATCTGAAAGTTTAAGAAATTCGGATTATTTTAAGCCGAAAACCATAGAAATTGGTTGAAAATTGACAGAGATATGAGGCTTTGAAATTTCGGCGCCGTTGATTTTGGTACTGCCCAGCAGGTGCAAAATAGGATTTTGGTACTGCTAAGTAGTAGCAAACTGGAGCTTGACAGTAGTAAAATTCACAGTCCTAAAACTTTAAACGCTTATAACTCGCTTGGTCTTCATCCAAATTACATGAAATGTATATTTATGGAATTGTCGTTTTAAGGAGCAACTAGTAATATTAAGGTTACATGAAAGTAGTCAACTTCAAGCTGCTTCCCACACCAAAAAAAAACATAGCATATCTTAAAAAAGTATTATTCCAGGCATGGCAGCAGTCGGTGCATGGTTTTCTGGTGCTGGCTCCGATCGTTATGGCCGCAAACCTATCATCATCGGCTCCACAATCATTTTCATCGCTGGAGCAATCATTTGTGCAGTGGCCTGGACAAAAATTGTGATGCTAATTGGTAGAATCTTCCTAGGTGTTGGAATTGGATTTGCTTCAATGGTGGTTCCTGTTTATCTAGGAGAAGCATCCCCTACTCATGTCCGTGGCACTCTTGTATCCGCGTTCGCCATGATGATCAGCTTCGGACAAGTCGTCGCAAATGTGATGGGTGGAATCTTCAGTTACTGGGATCCATACACCATCGGATGGAGATTGATGTTTGCGTTCGCTGGAATTCCAGCCTTGATCCAATTTGTTTGCTTCATCTTCCTTCCAGAGACCCCAAGATGGCTTTATGAGAATGGACAGACTGAGAGAGCTAAGCAAGTGTTGGAAAAGATTTATAGTGGAGACGCGGAGTGGATCGAGTATGAGTTAGCTGAAATTGAAACTTATGCAGAGGAGAGGAAGAAGCAGATGGAAGAAGAAAAAAGTGAGTTGGGGGGAAAAATAGAAACAATGGGATTCATTTAAGCCAAAAATCAGGCAAATAGGTTGAAAATTAACAGAGTTGCACAGTTTTGAAGTTTAGCTACAGTGATAAACTTTCAATTTTGATACTTTTTTCTCACTATACCAAGTTTTGATATCTCTCAAAGCATTTTGTCGGATACGCCTCTAAATTCTGATTCCAAAAATATCGATTTCATAAAATTTGTATGAAAACTAACCGAGTTATGAGAGTTTAAAGTTTTAGGACAGTGCATTTTACTACTGCCAAGTCCAAATTTGCTACTGCCTAGCAGGTGCAAAGTTGAGCTTGGCAGTAGTGAAATGCACTGTCCTGAAACTTCAAACGCACATAACTCGCTCAGTTTTCATTCAAATTTTATGAAAATTATATTTATGGAATTAGCACTTCAAGGCGCATCCGACGGTACTAAAACTCCGACGTCCGACGGTACTAAAAATTTTCAGAGTCCGGCCCTGTTATCTGGCGCATCCTGAAAACTCCACATGTCCTGAAAGCCTGCTTCATTGGAAGTATGCTTCAAGCCTTCCAACAACTGGCTGGAATCAACACCATCTTGTACTACACCGCTGATATCATCCGATCCGCTGGAATTGAAAACTATCACACTATCATCTGGATCTCTGTGATTCTCTCCATTTGCAACTTGATCGGTCCCTTCATTCCAATGACCCTAATTGAAAAGCTCGGAAGAAGAAAGTTGTTCCTTTTCTCCTGTGCTGGTGTCGTCATTTCTCTAGTCCTCATCGGTGTCTCCTTCCTTCTTGTTGGAAATGACTCCGCCCCTAATTTCGAGATGTCCTCTTACTCTTTGGCCGGATCTTATGACCCACTTCATCCAGAAGCTGAATCCTGTCGCATACTTTCAAATTGCGATAGTTGTGTCACTTCGGAGCACTGCGGATTCTGTGAGGATTCGGAGACGAAAACTGGATTCTGTCTTCCTGTCAATCATAATGACCCAACGCTCTTCTCATCGACAGGACTTTGCACTAGTGGGGTGGATAAGAGCAACTCCAGCTTCCCTAATGGTGAGTTGGCCACTAGAAAAAAAAGAAAAATTCAGAATATTTTGAGCCAAAAGTCAGTGCAATTGAGCAAAAACTAACTGAGATATGGTGTTTTGAAGTTTTTCCGCTGTTGACTTTGGTACTGCCAAGCAGTAGCAATAATGGATTTTGGTACTGCCCAGCAGTAGCAAACTTGAATATGGCAGTAGTAAAATGCACTATTCTGAAAATTCAAACGGTCATAACTCGCTTAGCTTTCATCCAAATTTTATGAAATTTATAATTTGGGAGTCAGAATTTTAAGGCGCATCCGCCAGGGTAATTTTGAAAAGCTGAACCTTTTTCTGGATGTCACAAAATTGAGAAAACTTCGACTTGCTTAATGATGCTCATAATTCAGTAATTTTTTATCCATCCCTTATAAAACTTATATTTTTGGATTCTAGATTAAAAAATACACCAAATAAACCAAAAATAAAAAAAAATGAACAAAAACTGACTGAGATAAAAAGTTTTGAAATTTTGGCATAGTTGATTTTGGTACTGCTAACAATAAGCAGTAGAAATAATGGATTTTGGTACTGCTTGGCAGTAGCAAACTTGAGCTTGGCAGTAGTAAAATACAACTTTAAACGCTCATAACTCACTTAGTCTTTATTCAAATTATATGAATTTGTTATTTTTAGAATCAAAATTTTAAGGCGCATCTGTTAATTTAAACTTTGAAAGTTTAAAGTCCTGTAGATTGACAAAAAAGTTAAGAAAACCACGAATTGCTTGAAAATGCCATAACTCGTTGACTTTTCATCCAATCCCCTTGAAACTTATATTTTTGGAATCAGCTAAAAATTTTCAGCAACTTCCTTCACCTGGCAAAAACACCACTGCACCACTTCCTACACCATTCTCCCTATTGTAATGATGGGTGTCTATCTTCTAACCTTCTCCTCTGGATTCACATCTCTTCCATGGGTTCTGAATTCTGAATTCTATCCAATGTGGGCCAGATCCACGTGTGTCTCTATCTCAACACTATCCAATTGGGTATTTAATTTATTGGTCTCTCTGACCTATTTGTCTTTGACTCATGCCATAACCAAGTATGGTGCATTTTGGCTTTATGCTATTTTCACTATTATTGCCTTTATTTTCATCTATTTCCTGGTACCAGAAACAACTGGTTATTCTATTGACGAGGTGAGTTTTCATCCTATTTTAAAAAAATATTCACTTCCTATTTTTCTAGGTGGAAATGCTGTTCATGAACAAGCGCCAACGCAACATTGCAATGCAAATTCGTCAAGCCAAGCTGGAAGCCAATGACAAGGACAAAGATAAAAATTCATCCGCCACCCTGTCCACAGAGACAATAACTATGTAGATTTTTGTGAACATATTACCCAAAATTTTATGATTTTACGGGATTTTTTCATCTTGTGCTTTACCTATTTCCCCCCTGTTTTCTCGTTCCTATGGAACTAAATCCTCTCCAACTATAGCCATTTTTTGGAATTTTTCTTCGATTTTTGAATTTATATCGAAGGATTTCAAATATGTTGTTATGTTATTTTATTTTCACTCGGTTTGGAAATAAAATAGTTTCTTTTAATTCTTGTGAGCTACAAAAAACAGTTAAAAATTTTTCTTTTCAATATTTTCGCAATTTTTAAATTCCAGAACTCGAAAACTCGATCTCTAAAAACCTGAAAATTCGTTGAGAAATGAAGAAAACGCAAACACGCTCCGTCTGCACGCGCGAGAGGGTGAGAGGCACTAGAGAAGTGTCGATTTACGGTGGCCGCTAGCCTAGGAACCTCCATTTTTCGCTCTTCCAGCCGCCTCCACGTGTACATTTTCCAGCTGGAAATCATCTAAAATCTCTTCTTTTTCGACTGTTTTTCTCTTCTTTTCAAGTTTCAGAAGCCAAATATTGAGAATTTTTATCGAATTCTAGGTAAAAAACATTGTAAAAATGGCTGAATTATATATGAAAAACGAGCAAATCTTTGTGAAAACTAAAATCCGTTGTAATAATTTGATTTCGCCGGTTTTCAAGGTTTCCCCAGTTGAGAAGTATAGTTTTCTGTTAATTTTTAGGCTTAAAACATCGATTTTCTGGGGAGCTAACCGGTTTTTCTATTGACACGTCAGTTAGGAAAGCTGACAGATTTCGAACAGGAGCTATAACTTTCTGTGGTTTTTAGGCATAAAGAGCAAATTTTCAGGTTAGAAAAGGCCCAAGAAAACAATTTCTTCGAATTCGTTTCCTCTTTTTTCCTATTTTTCGTTGAATTTTCTAAACTTTTCCAAATTTGCAGCACAGAATGGCGACTTGGGAGGAGTATTTGGCCACTCAACAAGCCAACGATGGCGTCCAATTCACTTGGAACATGTGGCCACACAGTCGCGTTGATGCGCAACGGCTCGTGGTCCCGCTCACCTGCTTTTTTACTCCATTGAAGGTTTTAGCAATATTTTTTAAAATTCAAAAACAAATAATTTTCTAGGAGCGACCAACAACCGAAGTTGCTCAACCACCACTCGAATATGACCCAGTTTTGTGTCAAAAAGCGAGCTGCAAAGCCATTTTGAATCCATTATGGTTAGTTTAGTTGAAAGCTCTGCAGAAAATTCGAAATTTTGAATTCCAGCGCCGTTGACTATCGCGCCAAGCTTTGGATGTGTCCGTTCTGCAACAATCGCAATCCGTTCCCGGCTCATTATGCAGCGATTGCTGAGGACAATCGACCGCCAGAGCTCTATCCACAATTCACGACGATTGAGTACACTTTGAGGGTGAGAAATGGGTTTTGAACCGAAATTTATAGCAAAATGGCTGGAAATTGCTACAAAACAATTTTTTACGGCCATTTTCATTCAAAATTTGAGTTTTCAGAAAGCCACCACCATGCCGCCAATCTTCGTTTTCGTAGTCGACACCTGTATGACTGCAGAAGAGTTGAAATCATTGAAGGAGTGTCTTCAGGTACTCAAAATCCTCTAGTTACATTAATTCGTCATTTTCAGACTGCTCTTTCACTTCTTCCCGCTGACGCTCTTGTCGGATTGATCACGTTTGGAAGAATGGTTCAGTTGCATGAGCTGAACACTCAGGGCATTTCTAGAAGCTATGTTTTCAAGGTAGATAATTTGAAAGAGGGAAAAGTCGGTTATTTTCGATTAAAATTCGCTAATCCAGCTCAGAAACTATGAAATTAACGACGTTGGGTTTTGGTCTGATTTTGATGAGCAGGAAGTACCAAATTTAGGTATTGCTACAGATTAGCAGGTGTAAAATCCCATTTTACTACTGCCAAGCAGAACCAAATTCAGATTTTGACACTGCTTAGCAGGAGCAAAATCTCATTTTACTATTGCCAAGCAGTACCAATTTGGTTTTTTTTCCACCACTTACTCACCCTCCTACAAATGTCTAGTCATAATAGCGTTTTGCACACATATTAATAGAAATTCAATTACATTTTATGTCAATGACACGAAACTTCCTCCCCCTCGGATTACTAATCCTCTTTTCTGACCTTTAAAAGAAATCCAAACACGAAGAAACTATACATTTTTATTCAGAAGAAACGAGAAGAGATGTGTTTTCATTATTATTATTTTTCATACGAAGAAGAAATTGAAATTCAATTAAGATGACACACATTAACAAACGAAGAACAAGACGAAGAAAAATATTAGAATGAGTAAATATTGGTCACACATGGCTTTATTAGGCTCCCTCTCTAGAAATTCCGTATAGTGTTATATCTCTCAAAATCTGTCTTTGTGTCTATTTGCCCATTACAATATTTCCGCCTATCCGATGTAGTCGCTTTGCTGGCAACGGGTAAATGGTCAGTGGCACTGAGGACATCTGCAAGATTCTTCATCGAGATGTGTAGTGTTTTGCGAAAAACAGGGAAATGGTTTATTTTCATCAAGCAGACATTGAAAAATTGGTGCACACAAAGAAAAAAAAGAGGGACAAAAGAGCAATCAGTAATCATCGAAACTCACTCTTTGCGGGTAAACATGATAATAGGAATTGTCCGGTGACGACAGACGTCTTGACATCATCTCCATATCCAGAATATCGGCGAGACGTCGGATGGAGGATTTTGCCTTTGAGTTGATATCAGCATAGGTAGCACTGTTATAGGTAAGAGGAGCTGCTTGGCAGGTTGTGTAGAGGATGGTTAGGGCGACGGTTAGGAGGAGGAGAAAACGCATGTTTTGAGCTGAAATTTTGGTTTTTGGAGCTGGAGAGGAGGGGCTGGGCTTGGAGGTACGTGCAGATAGAGCGAATGAATTAAAAATGGGAATTTGAGAGGCGTAACTTGAAGAAAAGCATTATTTTGATGAAGGGGGAGGAGACTACAGTAAAAGATTATCTGAGCTCAGAAGGTTATGGTAGTTTAAGAGGATAAGGATGTGAGGGTGAAGTTCAGAAGAGGGTAGATGTAATCCGCTTAAGGAAAGGGGAAGGATATGAAGTTTGCAAAAATTAGGAAAATTGAAAAGAGCAAAAGATCATAGAGAGGGCATTTTGATGAATTCTGGAATCTTGCAGATTCAGAAAGATCGTTGAAGCACTCAGAAGAATCCAGAAAGAAATTCTGGAGCTAAACAGCTTCTAAAAAGGAATTTGAGCTTGCTAGAAATTATAAAAAATTCTAGATTCCCAGAACCACGTGTTCAGAAGATTGACACCCTTTTAAGAGGATGATTGCTAATCTTATTAACCCCGCCCGAAAAACATAAACACATCTAAATTAACCGAAATTAGATATCCGGACTTAATCAGAAACCACCCAAAAACACCTAAAAATATCGCCTTATTTCAGGGAACCAAAGAAGTGACTGCCAAACAAATCAAGGACGTTCTCGCCTCGGGAATGGCTCGTCCGACGGCTCCAGGAGCACCAGCAGGAGGAGCTCCGGGAGCACCAATGGCTGGTGGAGCACCACATGGAGGTATCAAGACTATAGAGAAGGGGCGGGGCTTAGGATTTTTGGGAAAGACGTCATTTTTTTCTGGAGTAAAAGGAAGAACGATAGGGTTCTGAGCATGTCTAGATAAAGAAAAAAAAGGGGTATACATTAAAAATGATCATCATGTTTTTCTTGTTTCTTCTTCCTCCACACACAAAAATGATGGGTCCATGCATTGTCTATTTAATGACTTATGAATGAAAAGTGGAGAGTGGTTATTGTTGCCGCTTGTGATGACAAGAGGATCTCTGTTTTCGAATTGGTGAGACGGGATTCTGGGAATGCAATGAATTCATATGAAGCTATTTCTGTTCCTAGAAAATTACTAGAAAATTTGGTTTCTGAAAAACTAGAAAATTTGGTTTCTAACAAATCTAAAATCCAATTTTTTCAGCAACAGGACCAATGGGAGCTTCACGAGGACCAATGGGACCACCAGGAGCACCAGGAGCTCCAGGAGCACCCGGACAAGCAGCGCCAGCTCACCACGCTCCCGCCAACAAATTCCTCCAACCAATCAGCGAGTGTGACGATTCGATTAACGACCTCATCGATCAGATCACCGTTGATCGCTGGCCAGTCCCACAAGGACACCGACCACTCAGAGCCACTGGAGCGGCCCTCGCCGTCGCTGTGACACTTTTGGAGTCGTGCTTCCCTAGCACCGGAGGACGGATCATGTCGTTTATCGGAGGAGCTTGCACCCATGGACCAGGAGCTGTTGTTGGAGAGGAGCTCAAGAATCCAATCCGCTCTTGGAACTCGATCAAGGAGGACAACGCACCGTTTATGAAGAAGGCCAATAAGTTCTACGATGGTCTCGCTGCGAGAGTCGTCAAGAATGGTCACGCCGTTGATGTCTATTCATGCGCACTGGATCAGACTGGTCTTCTGGAAATGAAGAACATGTTCAACTCATCCGGTGGACACGTCGTCATGGGAGACTCGTTCAATTCGTCGCTCTTCAAACAGACCTATCAGAGAAGTTTCGATAAGGACGCCGCTGGAAATTTGAAAATGGGATTCAACGCGACGATGGAGGTTAAGGTTGGAGCAGGATTGAAGATTGAAGGGGTTCTTGGATGTTGTGCAAGTGGAAATGTTCGAAATGCGAATGTGTCGGATCAAGAGATGGGAATCGGAGGGACGTGTCAGTGGAAGTTCGGAGCTATCTCGCCAAGGACCACGATTGGAGTCGTGTTTGAAATTGCAGCACAGCATGGATCTGCGATTCCACAAGGTTTGTTAGATATCTCAGTATCGATTGCTCAGATCATGATCTCAAAATGCGATAAATAATTCCAGGTGGCCGTGGAATGGTCCAATTCGTGACCCAATACCAACATGCCGATGGTCGCAAGCGTATTCGTGTAACCACCACCTGCCGCACATGGGCCGATATGGGCACCCAGCAACCAAACATCGCCTATGGATTCGACCAGGAAGCCGGCGCTGTCGCCATCGCTCGTCTAGCCTCTTTCCGCGCGTCCAACGAAAACGACACGCCCGAAGCTCTTCGATGGCTCGACAGATCGCTCATCCGGCTGTGCCAGAAGTTTGGAGAGTATTCGAAAGATGACCCGAATAGCTTCCGTTTATCCGACAAGTTCTCGCTATTCCCACAATTTATGTTCCACTTGCGACGATCGCAATTCCTTCAAGTGTTCAATAATTCGCCAGACGAGACTGCCTACTATAGACACATTCTATTCTCGGAGAACGTCCTGGAGAGTACGACGATGATTCAGCCAGTGCTTTTCAGTTATTCGTTCAAGTAAGAGTACCTTATCGTATATCTCTTCAAATTAAACAATTTTTCAGTGGTCCACCAGAGCCGGTACTCTTGGATACGTCCTCAATCCTCCCCGACCGTATTCTTCTTATGGATGACTACTTCCACGTGCTCATCTATCACGGACAAACGATTGCTCAGTGGAGGAAACAGAACTTCCATGAGAATCCACAGTATGCCAGCTTCAAACAGCTGCTCGAGGCACCTGTCGCCGATGCCACATCGATCCTCCAGGAACGATTCCCGATGCCCAGATACATTGTGACAGAGCACGAAGGATCACAAGCGCGCTTCTTGTTGTCCAAAGTCAATCCTTCGTTGACGCACAATAATCCGTATGCTAATGTGAGTGAAATAATAGAAAATTGGCGGAAAATTCCAGAATCTGAAAAATAGCTGAAACTCAGAATCTGAAAAATAGCTGAAATTGCAACCAAATTAGGTCAAAATCGGTGCTTTGGTACTTCTAAGCAACGATAAAAGTCTATTTTGCTACTGCCCAGCAGTGTCAAAATCTATTTTGCTACTGCTCAGCAGTACCAAAAAGCAATTTTACTACAGCCCAGCAGTGTCAAACAGGGAGTTTGCTACTGCCAAGCAGTATCAAACTTGATATTTGCTACTGCCCAGCAGTGTCAAAAAGCGATTTTGCACCTGCTAAGCAGTTCCAAAATCAAAAATTTGAATCCAAACAATTAGATTCTGAATCCTAGTACCCCAATCTTTTGCAGGAAGCCGGTGCCGCTGTATTCACTGATGACGTGTCACTTCAAGTATTCATGGAACACTTGAAAAAGCTCGCTTCGAGTTCAACCACCTAATTCCGCCCTACTATTAATTTATTATCGATTTTTTTTTGTTTTTTCCATTTGTATGTTTTCTCCACCCCACCTGAAAATATTAATCTGCACCCCAACAAGATTCAACGAAAAAGACTAGAATTTTTTTATTTATTGAATGTGTTGATTTATGAAAACGGGAATGTGTTTTGTGTGTGTGTGTGGGTGCTTAGTTAATATGGCTTTGTAGATTTTTTGGAAGAAATTATTAGACAAGAGAAAGAAATTATGTTTAAAAAAAATTAGAATCCCTTAATAACACAGTATGCTTCAAGTGTACTCAAAAGAATGTATAGGAGCCAGACGGAGACGAAAATGCCGGCGGAGATGACACGCCACGACGTCGGACCGCCCAACTCTCCGTTGATTTTCCGGTTGAATCGTCGGTATTGAAGAAGGGCGACACAGATGACGGAGCCGATGAGGAACATGGTCACGGAGAAGGCCAGGGAGCCGGTGGAGACTCTAAAAAAGTTGAAAATTTAAAAAAATCAAAAATTTCAAAAAAAATGTTTTTTCGAAAATTTCAAAAAAACCTACAAAAACTTTGTTCCTCTGTAAGCATGAACACACGCCGCAATCATCCAAGCGATTCCGATACCCAAGAAGACGTTGACGGCGTTAGATCCGGTAACATTTCCAATCGATCCGTCCGCCCATTGATCGCCAACAGCGGCGGTACGGGAAGCGAATGTGTCTGAAAATTTCAGATTATTTTCAGAAAAATCAAATTCAGCAGGTTCGGAGCTTCAAAATGAGCCTAAATTTGAGATATTTGATTCAGGAAATTCTAGAAAAAAAATTAAAATTTTTTTCAAAATTTTGAATTTATTGCAATCTGAAAATTTCTCAAAACCCTCTCATGGTTATACTCATTCGAACCGCCTTGTTTTGCTGATTTCAAAAATACTAATTTCATGCAAATTAAGCACAAATGAAGCGAGTTACGGTAGTTGTCCTTCTAGGTCAAGCATTTTTCAGAATTCAAAAATTTGAATTTTTCGAAAAATTTTCAAACATAGCCATGATTATACTCATTTGAACCGGCTTATTTTGTTGACTTCACAAATATTAGTTTCATTATGATCGAAGTAAAATGAGCTGAGATACGATCATTTTTCTTTGTAGTCAAAAGTTTTGAGAATTCGAAAATTTGAATTTTTCGAAAAAAATTTCAAACCTAGTCATGATTATACTCATTTTGAAGCTAATAATCTCGTTATTTCAAAAACATAATCAAAGATTAATTTGGATAAAAAACAGATGAGTTATCACCCTAAAACTGCCTGACAGCTTAGGACCGTGTAGCTCAACTGGTAGCAATCTTTGACCCAGTTTATCTCAGTTCCTAGCAAAGATATCAAAAAGTGACGAACTGATAAAATTTTTATCATGATATCAGCAACATTTTGTTAGTTGACCACTTTTTGATAGCTTTTTTTAGAAACCGAGAAAAATGGTATCAAAGTGTAAAACTCTAAATTTGGAAATTTCGGAATTTCCAACTTCAACACATTTTTCAAACAGTCATGTTTATACTCATTAGAACCAGCTTTTTTGTTTGTTTTAAAAATCAAGGTTTCATTAAAATTAAACCACTACTAACAAAGTTACAAGCCATAAACACTAACCTGGAAGTGAGGTTCCCATAGCGACCAAAGTCAACGCGGTAACCGAGTCCTTGAGTCCGACGGTACAGCCAAAAGCTGCAGCAATGTCTCCAATGAAGGCAGTCAGAACTCCAATCATTATGATAGCAACCACAAAACAGCACCAGCCTGGAATTTTTAGAATTTTCAAAAAAATAAATTTGAGAAAAAAAAATGTTTTTGAAAAATTTTGAAAGCCTACTACTCAATTTTTAGACGAAATTTTTAGAACTTTAGTCACAATAATTTAAATATTAATAGATTTAAGCTTCAAACTAAATAAAAAACGATTTCAAAAATAATAAAAAATACCATAATCCCCTCTAATAGAACGCCTATCAAGCAGCCGACTTTGAATTTATATAGTTCATTTTCTGTGAGAGATATGAAAAAAAGTGGCCAATTGATAAAATATTTTCGATATTGTGATAAAGATTTTATCAGTTGACAAATTTTTGATATCTCTTATAGGAAGCGAGATAATTAAGATCAAACTAAACAATGTTGGGGACCAAGTTGCACGCTTACTGTAAACTTTAAGCCCTTATATCTCATTTCCTGTGGAAGATATCCAAAAGTTGTTAACTAATGAATTGTTTATCATAATGTTAAAAACATGTTATCAGTTGACATATTTTTGATATCTTTCATAGGAATCGAGATAATTGAGCTCGAAGTTGACGATGGACTTCTATCAGAGGAAAACGAAAATTTTCCCGAATAATCATATTGAGAATTTTTAAACAATTTCTGATTTTGAAAACAATAACTATAGGGTTATTCAATAATGAAAAGAGAAAGTTACAGAAAATTGTTGGAAAACCCCAAAATTTTCAAAAAAAAATCACCATTAAAATAGTCGGTAGGTGGAATCAGCGCGAACAGCAACTTCCATGGAAGTGCCACGTAGTGCATAATCTTCTCCTGGAGACTAACATCGCCTCCTTCCTCTTCTGGCTCCAAAGTCAGAGCTTCAGTGAATTGTTGCTTCCAACTCGACGTTCCAACCATGATAGAAGTGTTTGCTGTTACCAAAACTTTATCGACGAAATTCTTAAAGTCTCGATCTTCGGTAATAACCACTTTACATCTGGCAAATCCCAAAATTGGCTTTCCTTCCGCTCCTTCTTCCTGCAAATTTTTTTTCTAAATTTTTCATTTTTTCCTCCCCTCTTCGCTCCCCTGGTAAGCCCCCCTCATGTTTACGCCATCCACTCTCCTCTCTTCCGGCGGAGAGATGGCCGAGCGGTCTAAGGCGCTGGTTTAAGGCACCAGTCCCTTCGGGGGCGTGGGTTCGAATCCCACTCTCTTCAGTTCTTTTTTTGATTTTTCACTTACATCATCCTTAATCTCCTTGTGCCAAATTGGATCTCCCAACTCTATAAAGAAGTCTTCGTGCTTTTCATACTCATCGTCATTGGTAATAGGAATGTAGATCTCGGCTCTAAACCCATTTTTAAAATTAAAAATCAAAAAGTTTAGGAAAAATACATACTTCGATTGCTCATCATCAAATTTAAGCACACCCTCCTGATGAACGTAGTCTTGTGGTGACTTGGCGGCTCCGTCGATAGTTTTGTATGGAATTGAGACTTCTCCACGTGCTCCGCGAGATCGAATGACTTCGGCGACAAACGATCCACAGGATTCAACGCATTTGAATTTTTCGGAAGCGAATCCGAAGCATCCGGCATGATCGTCGTCAACAATGATTACTGTAGCTGTGGCGGCTGGTCCCAGACGGCAAGGAACGGCGGAGAAGTGTTCAGAACGGAAGGCGCGGACTTGAGAGAGCCGAACCATGAATTGCTCATCGTCCTCGTAAATGTCGTTGTCCACAATTCCGACTTTGATTTTTTGTCTGAAGTTTTTAAATTTAAAAACCTTCAAATCTTCTGTTTTGCAACAAAAATCATAAAAAAATGCTGAAAGTTGACAAAGTTAGGAGTGTTTTAAAAATTAGGACATTTTCCATGATTTGGACCAATTTCAGCCAAACGTTAGATGGTTTGTTTGATTTTGAAACTTATGTCATGTCATTTTTCAAATAATCTGAAAATTTAGCTTTGTTTTGCATTAAAAATCATTATAAAATGTTATGAATGAAGCGAGTTATAAAGTTTTGAAATTTCCAAAGATTAAAAAATTTTTTTTCGAAATTTCAAAACTTTATAACTCGACTCGAAGATGTTCAAAACTTATGGTTTTTACACCAAAATTTGAAGATTTTTCTAGAGTTTTTTTTTCACAAAATAACACAATTTTTAAATTTTTTTCTTACTCAGTTTGTCCGGGCTCGAAAGTGATTGTCCCCTCGGCTGGCATGAAATCCGAGTTTTCTTGAGCAGTATCGGCGATGGTTCTGGAACAAATTGTGTTAAAAATGGTCTACAAGCCAGTGAAAACTGATTTCAGAATTTGAAGAAAATAAAAGTTTTCGATTATAAAAATTATTTTCTCAACTGTCACAAACCTATAATGTACAGTAACCGTCGTATCCTCTGGAACGTTTCCTCGATCACATTTCACAGTCAAGTAGACGTCTCCAACATTCTCCAAACACGTATAATGTGGTGGATCGAATTCTACCGTAGCCATTGTCTGTTTAACAACCAAAGGTTCGAGCAATCCCTTTTTATTCTTCATCTTCTTCTGGATGTCTCCACTTCCAATCATTTTTCTTGTTGTCTGAAAATGGAGATTCATTATATTTATATTTGCTCAACGCTCCTTGAAACGGTGATTCCAAAAATGTAAATTTCACGAAGTTGGGATTAAAACGAAGAGAGTTATGAGTATTTTAAGTCTTAGGACAGTGCATTTTGCTACTACAAATTCAAATTTTGCTCCTGCTGGGCAGTAGCAAAATAGCAGTTTGCTACTGCCTAGTATGCTGTAATTTTTGCACTAAACGAAAACTGACAAATATAGCTTTAATTTGATATAAAAACATTTACCCGAATTATTGATGCTTTTTAAGCCGAGGAGAATTGAAACAAGCTCTAATAAAACTTTTGTATAATTGACCCTTTTTTGATTTCAGGCGAACATTTTTATTACAGACGAAAGCCCTAATGTTCAGCTATCTTTTAATGCAAAAATCAAAGCATTATCTAAACTATGAGAAAAGTTATAGACGTTTAAAGTTGACCATAGTTTGATTTTGGTACTGCTCAGCAGTAGCAATTCGTCATTTTGCATTTGCTAGGCAGTAGCAAAATAAAAGTTTGCTACTGCTAAGCAGTACCAAAATCTCATTATGGTCAACTTCCTACGTCCATAACTTTTCTCATAGTTGAGCTAACTACCTAATTTGTTTATTAAACGATAGCTGAGAAATAGAGCTTCAATTTCATGTAAAAACATTTACCCGAGTTATCGATACGTTCTAAGACTAGGAGAATTGAAACAAGCTTCAATTAAACTTTTATAATTGACCCACTTTTCGATTTCAGGTAAATATTTTTATACCAAATAGAAGCTCTTTTTTTCAGCTATCATGTGATCTACAGATCTAAAAAATATCTCCACTAGGAACAAAGTTGTACATGTTCAAAGTTAACAATAATGAGATTTTGGTACTGCTTAGCAGTAGCAAAATATTATTTTACTACTGCCTAGCAGGTGCAAAATGAACTAAGCAGTACCAAAATCTCATTATGGTCAACTTTAAACACCTATAACTTTTCTCATAGTTAAGTTAACCCTCTAATTTTTGCACTTAAAGGTAGCTGAAAAATAGAGCTTTAATTTTATATAAAATATTTGCCTTAATTATCAATGCATCAATTATAACATAGTTAAATTGGTAGGTCCCTTCCTTGAATTTGAATTCTTGAATTAACAGTATTTTTTGCGGGTTTCCTTATCTCAATACCTGAATACGGTAGAAGGCTCTTGACTTCTTCTGTTCGCCAACAACTTTTTCCATGGCATGCTTCTCCAATTCATCAACTGGAGCATCGGGATGCTCCGAACGTAGCTGCTTGAAAATATCCAAATAGTGACGTCGATGGATTTCGAAAGCTAATGCATCAGCGTCCCCTCCAATCAGCGATTGATTTTGATCTCCTGGAATTCCTCCATTTCCAGATTCCAATGCGTTTTCATGGGTCTTTTTGGATGGAGAACGACGTGGAGAACGGCGGACGAACGAGGAGAGTGGTCCCGAGATGAGTCTGGAAATTTAGGAATTTTTTATATTAATTTTTATATTTTCAGGATTTTTTAACACATTTCTCAAAAATAGTCATGTTTATATTCATTTTGAAACTCAGAATTTGGTTAATTCAAAAATTTAAAAAAAAAATCATTTTTTACAAAAACCAGATGAGTTATGACCACAACGGTCGGCTGCCTGCAACCGCATCGCTCAGCTGGTTGGCTGTCTTTGAGCCCATTTAATGATAAACATTTTATTAGTTTACCCCCTTTTTGGTATCTTTGACAGCGAACAAGATAAATTGGGTCAAAGATCGCTACCGACTCTGAGCTATACTGTCGTAGGCTGTCGGCCTGTTTTGTGGTCATAGTTCATATCTTTGGTGTCCAAATTGACTTTTGATTAAATTTTTTATATAAAAAAGTTATGCTTCAAAATGAGCATAAACATGACCATGTTTGAAATTCTGAAAAAAATGTTTCGAAAATGTCAAAATTTCTGGGTCAAATTATTAAAATGATCATATCTCAGCTCATTTTGTCTCAAGCTTAATGAAACTTACATTTTTGAAATGAGCAAATAAAGACGGTTTAAATGAGTATAAACCTGACTTGGTTAAAAATTTCTGTTTTTGATTGCTCACCTCTGTCCAAACTGTCCAGCATGTGCGTCGGCGAAATAAGCCGACGCCACTGTCAGCGGGAAGAAAACAAAAGTAAGGACTCCTTCCCAAACTTCAACTTCTCCCGGACTAAACACGCTCAAAATCAAGTACAACCAAACGTAGGCAAATGTAGACCAAACTACAGTAACCCAAAAGACGCCGTTGTGCTGAACGCGACGAATCTCGCCGTTTGGAATCGCCTGAAAAGTGTTGTTTGCAGTTTTTGTAGTCTGTGGTTTGTAGATTATACCATAATACAAACTGCAATAATGATGAATAAATTGAACGCGGCCGAACCGACGATTGTGGATGGTCCAAGTTCTCCAGCTTCGAAATTATTTCCACAAATTTCAATAACGGAGAGCAGGATTTCCGGAGCCGATGAGCCAAGAGCCATCAATGTCAAGTTACTGACTGTCTCATTCCAGACACGTACCAGGACGGTGAATGGCTCACCGGTGATCTGGAAATTTTAAATTTGAATTTGGAAGCCAAAATAAAAAAAAGTTTTTTTTTGGATTTTTTTTTCGCAAAAACCTCTAACTTTGAGCTCATATATCTCATTTGTTGTGAGAGATATGAAAAAGAGGTCAACTAATAAAATGTTAATCATAAAATTAGCAACATTTATCAGTTTACTACTTTCTGATATCTTTTACAAAAACTGAGATATTTTGGCTAAAAATTAAAGGTTTGTTTTCCATTTTTTTTCCCCATAAGTCAGCTCAAAATAGACCAATTTCAGCAATTTTACTATCATTTTTAAGCTAATTTCATGCTGAATTTGATTTTTGAAAATTAACGTTTACCAAGACCATTAAAAACCCCGAAAAAACCAACATTTCCCTTACCTTCTTCATTTTCACAGATTTGGTCTGGGAAGTGATGACCTCAATGGATGCCATAAATCTGTCAGCCACAATTGAAACACCGAAAAATAGGTAGGCGAGAACGAGAAGGTACACTATAGCACGGAACCATATTTTACATTCGGACAGGTTTTCCTGAAAAAATTGAATTTTGGAATTTTCGGAAAAAAATTTTTAAAAATTTTCAGAACTTACAGATGGTTGCCATACTGGAACGATGACTCCTGGAGCACAAGGTTTTGCTGGTGGACACGCCGTGTCTTCTGGAGACGGGAGACGCTGGGAGAATACTCGCACTACCTGGAAATTTTGAAATTTGGATTCTTTTTTAAATCTGTAAAAAAAATTTTTGGAATTGTTCAATTTTTTTTTGAAAATTGTTGAATTCTATTTTTATATTTTTCCAATTATGATTTCGATAAGATTCAGTTTTTGAGTGAAATTATTTAGCTTTGTAATTAAAGGCTGATTTTTAAATTAATTGCTCAATTATGTCCTAATTGTAATAGCCCTACTAATTACCTCGGTATTTCCTTGCTGCTGAGCTTGGAATTGCCCAAAAGAGACAACTAGGAACAAGATTATTTTCAACTTGGTCATCGCATTTGTAATTGTCTCTGAAAAAAGAGATAATCAGGGCAATTAACGGGAAGCCATTGAGTAATTAGGAAAAACAATTAAAGCGAAGGAGGGGAGAAAAAAGAAAAATGAACAATTGGAAAAATTGAGATTCTCACTAATAAAGTTTCTCACTGAGAGAGACTCTCATTAAGAAGATTCTCACTGAGAAAGATCCTTATTGAGAGAGATACTCACTGAGAAAGATTCTCACTAAGAAAAACCTTATTGAGAAAGATATTCACTGAGAAAGACTCTCACTAAGAAACATCCTTATTGAGAAAGATCCTCATTGAGAGAGAGAGATACTGACTAAGAAAGATTCTCACTAAGAAAGATTCTCACTGAGAAAGATTCTCACTAAGAAAGATTCTCATTAAGAAGGGTCCTCACTAGGTAAGGTTCTTATTAATAAACATTCGCTTTGAGACATTTCCTCACTAAGAAAGATTTTCAGTAGGCAAGATTCTCACTAAGAAAGCTTTTTATAGAGAGAGGTCGCCACTAAGAAAAATCCGTACCAAAAATAATAAGATCTCAGCTTCTCACTCAAAAAGCAATAATCATGTATTTATAACACGTTTCTTTTTCTCTGCGTCTCTCTCTCTCTCTCTCTCTCTCTCTCTCTCTCTCTCTCTCTCTCTCATTTTCTCACACCTTTATTACTAATAACTGAGAAAAAGGAGCCCCACCAGAAGTTAATCAACTTTTCTGTGTTTTTGTGGAAAAACAAAAAAAATGAGAAAATCGGAAAAAAGTTTTCTAGGGGGAAAAAAATAAGAAAAAGGTGTATGTACAACTGGATGTTGGGCTGGAAGATTGACTTTATGACAAGCGATAAACAGGAAAACAAAAAAATTTCTGAGAGTTTAGGGTCCGAAAACATTTTTGATCTTTTGAAAATTCTGAAAAAAATTTTAAAACTTTCTGGTGATTTTTTTGAAGGTTTTAGAAGGATTATAGCTTAAATTAAGCTTTTTTTCTCATCTATAGCTGATTTTAAATTCCCAAAGTGTTCAAATATCCAAAAAAATTCAATAAAATTTTTTTTTTCGAAAATCCTAAATTTCTCTAGACACTCTTTGAAATCTCTCTTTGATCCTTTGAACACTTTTTCTAGTGTAAAAACAGCGTAATAGTGCTCTTTTTCTCATCCAACGATGTGCTCATTGCTCATCGGGAACTCATTAGAGCAGAAATTTGAAAATTTTGAAAAAAGTTTTTTTCGAGAATTTTGAAAAATTTTTTTCTAGAACTAGCTGGGGAAAGTTTTTGGAGATTTCTATTCAGAATTATAGGATCTGAAAAAAAAATTCCTGATTACCGTAAACACTCTAATAGAATGCTACTACCCAGACCGTCTTTTTAAGCGTATATATCTCGGTTTTTTTGAAATATATGAAAAAGTTGTCAACTGATAAAAAGTTTATCATAATATCAGCAACATTTTATCAGTTAACTACTTTTTGATATCTGTTATAGGAACCGAGATAAATTGGCTTGAAGTTAGGGTCACTAAGAGCCGTCAATCGGCCGCCACTAGTCCGCCACAGCCAAACTTTGAGCCCACATATCTCATTTTCTGTGAATGATATCAATAAGTAGTCATTTGATAAAAAATGTACATAATATCAGCAACATTTCATTAGTTCACCACTTTTTGATATCTCTCACAGAAAATGAGATACATGGGCTCGAATTTGACGATTCGGAAAATTCCAAAAAAAATGGTTTTTTTTTGAATTTCCTTTAAAAAAGTTCCCCAAAATGTTTTTTCAATTCTCTAATTTTTTTTCCAGTCACCCAGAAAAAAAACAGAACTTCCGTTTTTTTTTCTAACAAGAACAAGCTAACTAGAAAACAGAGAGTTTTCTGTTTTTTGGATTTTTCCGAAAAAACATTTTTTTTTTGGAATTTAATTTTGGAACTTTCTAGAATCGGAATTATTGAATTAAAGTGTTCTCAGAAAGAAAAAAAAACACAAGAAGAAAGGAGCCAAAAAATGAGCCAAAAATTTTTATTGTGAAAAAATTGTTCTTCCCAAAACCCCCAACCACTTCCAGATGTTGTCAATTTGAGGGTTTTTTGAGAAAAGCAAAGGCAGAAAAAAATTATAAATAAATAAATCAAGGTTTTCTGGTCAATTTGGATGACAGGGAAAGAGAAAATTGGAAAATTGGGAAATCTAAATTCTCTGGTAAACAACACACAGAAATTTTGGATTCTTATATTTTTCCACCCAATTATTTCCAGCTGTTAATTTTTTTCAGAGAACCGGGGACCAAAAACACGTTGTCGTCAAGCAAAAAAATCTGGAAATTCAAAACATCTACTAATCCGAAAGTTTCTAAAATTTGAGAATCTAGGATTTCATTACTTTCTCAGAATCTCAGAATCTCAGAATCTCAGAATCTCAGAATCTCAGAATCTCAGAATCTCAGAATCTCAGAAACTCAGAAATCCTAATTGTTGTTTCAAGGTTTCAAAAATCCTAAATTCAAGATTCTGATTTGAAAAGTATTCTGGACCTCAAAATTCTATATTTTCGCTAAATTTTGGAAATATCGCATTGTCAAAATTCAGAAGTTTCAATAACTTCTGGATCTAAATTCCCAATTTTCAATAAATTTTCAAAAAATAAAAAATACAAATCTCATCACATAAAAAGGGGAAGAACGAAAAAATCCAACTAACACTGATCACTAAAATTTTCGAGGTCAAAGATTCCCCAATTTTTTTGTGTGTCACACAAAAAAATTGAAATAAACAAAAAAGAAGACGTCGAGAAATCGTAAAATCAGTGATTTGGAGAGAAGGGATGGAAGTGATCAATTTGATAGTGTGGCTACGGGGGGGGGGGGAAAATGGACAATAACAATAATTTGAAGAAGAAGAAGAGGTGAAAGTTTAGAAAAAAGAAGAAGAAGATGGAGAAATTCTTCTTCTTCTCAGGGACAGAAAGGAGTAGTGCCTAATTTGTGGTTTTGTTTTTTTTTTTGGAAGGTTTGTAAGTCTCTCTCTCTCTTTTTTTTTTTTTGTCCTTTTTTACTATCTCAAAAAAGAAGAAAGCTTATTTTTAATAGTTTAAAGATTCGAACAAAACAATTCGAACAAAGAAACTAAAAAAAAATGAAACTGGCAATTTTTTAAATCAGAAATTTTGTGTTTTGATCAAAATTTAAAAAAATGGAAAGGTACCCTGTATTTTTGAAACATCTGAAAAAAATTTAAAATTGAAATTATTTATCTGGAACTTTTAAAACATCCTTAAAGAATTCGATGAAATAAAAATGAAACTTCACAAATTTGGGATTTTTCGATTTTTCGAAAATTTCAAATTTTTGGAATTTCTGAATTTCTGAATTTTTAAATTTCTGAATTTTTAAATTTCTGAATTTCTGAATTTCAGAATCTCAAAATTTCAGAATTTCCGAATTTCTGAATTTCTAAATTTATGAATTTCTAAATCTCAAAATCTCAGAATCTCCAAATCTCAGAATCTCAAAATCTCAGAATCTCAAAATCTCAGAATATCAAAATCTCAGTATCTCAAAATCTAAAAATTTCTGAATTTCTGAATTTCTGAATTTCTGAATTTTTCACAATTTTTGGGAAGTTGTATAAAAAAATAGAAAATGAAGAAAAAGATCAATTGCAAAAAATGGGATTAATAAGAAAATCCCTAATCTAATCCCGAAATATTCCGAAAAATCTGCATAAATTTTATATCAAAATATAGCTCTTGAAATTCGGAATCGATTGATTTAAAATAATTTTCTAAACTTTCATAAAACTAAAAAGTTGTGCGCCTTTAAAATATTTCCCTATTTTTGGGCTCCAAAAATGACGCATTGATGAGGGAAATAAATACACTAGTAATCTGTAAGTTTATATTTTTTGGTTGATCAAACGAAAAAAAAAGAAGGGAAAAAAAAGAAAAATGGAGAAAAAAGTGACATGTTTGGGGAAAACTGAGATGTTTCTCAAGGTTTATGAACTGAAAAATAGAAATTTTGGTTTTTTTTTGAAACTTTTTTTCAAAAGTTTCAAGATTTTGCTTCAGGAAATATATGTGCTAACCAGCAAGCTGGTGCGCCTTCGGCGCGATTCAATCTATTTTTTTCAAATGTTCGTCGCTTCGTTTCTCACTTTTTCTAAATAAAAGGGTCACGTAAATATATATGTATTTTTCAATTTTTTCAAAAGTCCACAAACGGACACGAGGACGGACAGACGCATCTAGCGTTTTATTAATAAGGAAGATTGCTCTATTTCAAAATATTACGTTAAAAAAATTTATCAACTTCTTTGGTGCGAAATTCCAAAATGTTTCTAGACAATAGAAATATCCCGAAACTGCACGTATTTTGGAGTTTAGGTAACTGGATATTCAGGAAGGGGAAAGTAGAAAATTTTGAACTCAAAAAAATTGTGAATGTTTTTTTTTTCAATAAATTAAAACTTAGGATCGGATTTGCTTGATCAAGTAGTGTATCAATTTGAAGCCCTTTTTCTTGGCTTTCATTTAACACAAAAATCAACTTTATATCTAAATTTATAACTAAGTTACAGGCATTTCAAAAAGCTCATAGTGGATTTTTGGTACTGCTCTACCATTCGGATTTTGAAATACTTTTTGAAATCAAAATTCTGGAACCAATATTTGGATTGTCTATTTGAATTTTGTATTATTTTGAAGCCCATTTTCCCAGCTTCCATTTAGTATAAAAATCAATTCTATATCTAAATTTATAACTAAGTTACATGCGTTTCCAAAAGCTCCTAGTGGATTTTTGGTACTGCCCAGATTTTAAGGGAGAGGAAGGCGGACTGATTTTGCTGATTTTGCCAAGCAGTAGCAAAATCGCATTTTTGGTACTGCTTAGCAGGTGCAAAATTTAAAAAGGCAGTACCAATTTCAGTGTTTCGGTAACTTTAAGAGTTCATAATTTTGCTCAAAATGATTCTGGAATGATGTTTCATTTTCAGATAAGTAGATTCAGACACGCTGATTTCAAATATTTTGTTAAAATTCCATGATTCTCACTAGTTTTAGAGATATACGCATTTCAAAAGTATATACATATGAGCAATCGTAATAATAATAATAATGCTCATTTCCGCCGAGAAAAAAGTCAAAAATCTCGGGGAAAATAATAAGATTTCCATAGAAACAGGTGCTCATTTTTGGGTGCTCGAGCACCCAAAATGACTTTGAATTGTCCGAAAATAATAAACAGGAAAAATTTTTTCGTGAGAAAATGAAACATAAATAAGGGAATTGGATATTCTGAAAATGGATCAAACATGGAGAAATTGAAGAGGAAAAAGTGACGAATATCGAAAAATGGGGGACAAATTGTGTGATTTGAGGTCAGACTATAGTGTAAAATTGAAGAGAAATTGAGAGATTTGAAGAGAAAAAATGATAAGGTCAAAAGGTTTTTTGAAAGATCTCGATCATTTTTTGGGCAAGAATAATTCTGAAAAAAGTTATGGAAACACTGAAATTGGTACTGCATTTCAAAATTTTACACTTGCTAAGCAGTACCAAAATGCGATTTGCTACTGCTCGGCAGTAGCAAAATCAGTCTGGGCAGTAGCAAAAATCCACTATGGGCATGTTTAAACGCCTGTAACTTAGCTTACAATGTCGAATACAAAGTTTGTTGCTGATGAAACGGAAGCTAGTGAAAAGGGCTTCCCTTTGATATAAAATTCCAAAGTTTGTCAGAATATAGGTTAGGGAAAGAGTGATTTTTGAGCTTAGATTTTACAATGACTGTTAACAGAAATATATGGTTTTTTAAACCATTTCTCTATGTTAATATTTGACAACAACAAAAAATGTTCTATTACAGCAAAGCTCTATTTTTCGGCTATCCAACATGACAAAAATTATTTCAAAATGCTTGTTTTGAGCAAAGTTATGGACTCTTAAAGTTACCAAAACAGTAAAATTGGTAATGCTTTTCGAAATTTTACACCTGCTGGGCAGTACCAAAATGCGATTTTGCTATTGCTAAGCAGTAGCAAAAATCTACTATGAGCTTATTTAAACGTCTGTAACTTGACCTTAAATTTAGATACAAAGTTGATTGTTGCATTATATGAAAGCTAAGAAAAAGGGCTTTCAAATGCTATAAAATTCATTCAAGGTCCACTACAATATTCGGTCCAAATTATCTTCAAACTTCTTAGTTTCTCAAATCTCTAAAAACCCTCAAGTTTCATTTTGAAAAAGAAGGGAATATTCAGTGTAAAACAAAAAGTGGGACCTCTTTTCCTCTTTTTTTCTTTTTCTCTCTATTTGTACAAATGTCCTCTTTTTCACTCATTCCATTCCATTTCACCTCCTAAATTGACGGGAAAAATTTTGGAAAAAAAAACGGAAAAAGAAGAGGAAGAAGAAATTGAAGTGGTGGAAGAAGAAGACGTTAACATCTTCTAGAAGAATGCGTAAAACGGAAAAAAGAAGAGGAAGATGTGTTTCTCGGTTTTGTTGGTCTATGTTAGTGTGTATTAGTAAAAAAGGAAGAAGGGACACACAAAAATACACACACACCCAAAAAAAAATAATTGAAGAGAAATTTGAAGAGATAGAGAGAATTAGAGAAAAAATGAGATAATTAGTGAGGTTGTCGAAAAAAAAGGGAGTAGGATGAAGACTACTGATGAGGAATTAGGATGAATGGAAATTTGAGAATCTAAAATTCTTTTTGAAAAATTTCGAGAAAATGAGATTTACTCAAGTTTTTGAGCTAATGTATCTTGTTTCTCGTAAAAGATATCATAAAATGGTCAACTGATAAAATGTTTATCATATTATCACCAACGTTTTGCTAGTTTATCACTTCTTGATATCTTCTACAGAAAATGAGATAAATTGGCTCAAATTCAAACGTTTGAGTTTGGGGTCTAGCCAAATTTTGATGAATTTTTTCTCGGTCCCTGTGAAAGATATCCAAACATTTTAAAAAGCAAAAATGTTTGTCTTAAAACCAGCAAAATTTTATTAGTTCACAATTTTTTTGATAACTCGAACAGGAAAAGAGACAATTGAGGTAAAAAGGATGAAGTTTTAAGGAGTTTCACAGATTTCAAAAGAGAAAAATCAACAGTTATTTAAACGTGATGAAAAGAACCTTTTTGTGGATAAAAAAGTGTTCAAAAATTGAATTTTCCGTCAAAAAATCCACGACCCTTGATGCCCCATTAACCCCAGAAGAAATACTATAAAGGAAGAGGAAAGTGGAGGGTCAAATCAGTTCTCGCTTTCTCTGGGCTCCAGAGAAGGTGACCCGGGGATCTTGGGTCCTAGGTCCTGGGTCCTAGGTCCTGGGTCCTAGGTCCTGGGTCTTAGGCCCGGGTCCTGGGTCCGGGTTTGGGTGACCCTGACCGGGTGACCTGGATCCGGGTGACCTGAATCCGGGTGACCCTGACCGGGTGACCTGGATCTGGGTGACCTGGAGCCGGGTGACCTGGATCCGGGTGGCCTGAATCCGGGTGACCCTGACCGGGTGACCTGGATCCTTGTGACCTGGATCTGGGTGACCTGGAGCCGGGTGACCTGGATCCGGGTGACCTGGGTCCGGGTGACCTGGATCCGGGTGACCTGCATCTGGGTGACCTGGGTCCGGGTGACCTGGGTCCGGGTGACCTGGATCCAGGACCTAGGACCCAGGATACCCGGGTTACCTTCTCTGGAGCACAGAGAAAGCGAAAACTGATTCGTTTCTCATGAATACGACTCCAGGTCTCTGGGTCCCTGGGTCCCTGGGTCCCTTGGTCCCTGGGTCCCTGGGTCCCTGGGTCCCTGGGTCCCTGGGTCCCTGGGTCCCTGGGTCCCTGGGTCCCTGGGTCCCTGGGTCCCTGGGTCCCTGGGTCCCTGGGTCCCTGGGTCCCTGGGTCCCTGAATCCCTGGGTCCCTGGGTCCCTGGGTCCCTGAATCCCTGGGTCCCTGGGTCCCTGGGTCCCTGGGTCCCTGGGTCCCTGGGTCCCTGGGTCCCTGGGTCCCTGGGTCCCTGGGTCCCTGGGTCCCTGGGTCCCTGGGTCCAAGGATCTACCCTGCCCTTCGGGATATCCAGGTGGCGCTTTTTTAGAAATCTGAATTTCCTGAAACTTGTTTTTTTTTTGAAAATTTCGATTTTTTCCATGGAATTTTCAATTTTCCGGTTCTCAGAAAAATATTTTTCAATTGTCATTTGACGTTTAAAATAATGTACAGGTTCAAGTACAGGTTCAAGTAGTTGGAAAAAAATTTGAAGTTGGTGGCCTAGAAATCTGAATTGTTGGCTTCTCTAGGCCACATGTCAATTTTCGAGCTTTTTTAATGACCATAAATCACTCTCAAGAAAAAAATAAACCAAAAAAAGAAGACGAAAAAATGACAATTTTTTCCGGAAAATCAACAAAGACGTCAAAACGGAAAATTGATGGAAAAAAGGGAGAAAAAAGCGAGACGGATGTCAAAAATTGTGGTCCAGTGGTCCCCCTCATCAATCAAATAAAACACTAAGAAATTGTGAGAAATGGAAAACTTGTGAGGTCAAAAAATTATAAACAAATTATTTTGAAACTGGGGAAGAATAGGAAATTCAGAAATTCAGGAATTCAGAAATTCAGAAATTCAGAAATTCAGAAATTCAGAAATTTTTGAATTCAGAAATTCGGAAATTCAGAAATTCAGAAATTCAGAAATTCAGAAATTCAGAAATTCAGAAATTCAGAAATTCAGAAATTCGGAAATTCAGAAATTCAGAAATTCAGAAATTCAGAAATTCAGAAATTCAGGAATTCAGAAATTCGGAAATTTAGAAATTCAGAAATTCAGAAATTCGGAAATTCAGAAATTCAGAAATTCAGAAATTCAGAAATTCAGAAATTCAGAAATTCAGAAATTCGGAAATTCAGAAATTCAGAAATTCAGAAATTCAGAAATTCAGAAATTCAGAAATTCAGTAATTTTTGAATTCAGAAATTCGGAAATTCAGAAATTCGGAAATTCGGAAATTTAGAAATTCAGAAATTCAGGAATTCAGAAATTCAGAAGTTCAGGAATTCAGAAATTCAGAAATTGAGAAATTCAGAAATTCAGAAATTTGGAAATTCCGAAATTTAGAAATTCAGAAATTCAGGAATTCAGGAATTCAGAAATTCGAAAGTTCAGAAATTCAGAAATTCAGAAATTCAGAAATTCAGAAATTCAGAAATTCAGAAATTCAGAAATTCAGAAATTCAGAAATTCTGAAATTCAGAAATTTGGAAATTCAGAAATTCAGAAATTTAGAAATTCGAAAATTCAGGAATTCAGAAATTCGAAAATTCAGAAATTCGAAAATTCAGAAATTCAGATATTCAGAAGTTCAGAAATTCAGAAATTCAGAAATTCGGAAATTCAGAAATTCGGAAATTCGGAAATTTAGAAATTCAGAAATTCAGGAATTCAGAAATTCAGAAGTTCAGGAATTCAGAAATTCAGAAATTGAGAAATTCAGAAATTCAGAAATTCAGAAATTCAGAAATTTTTGAATTCAGAAATTCGGAAATTCAGGAATTCAGAAATTCAGAAATTCAGAAATTCAGAAATTCCGAAATTTAGAAATTCGGAAATTCAGGAATTCAGAAATTCAAAAGTTCAGAAATTCAGAAATTCCGAAATTCCGAAATTCAGAAATTCAGAAATTCAGAAATTCAGAAATTCAGAAATTCCGAAATTCCGAAATTCAGAAATTCAGAAATTCAGAAATTCAGAAATTCCGAAATTCCGAAATTCAGAAATTCAGAAATTCAGAAATTCAGAAATTCAGAAATTCAGAAATTCAGAAATTCTGAAATTCAGAAATTTGGAAATTCAGAAATTCAGAAATTCCGAAATTCAGAAATTCGGAAATTCAGAAATTTGGAAATTCAGAAATTCAGAAATTCCGAAATTCCGAAATTTAGAAATTCAGAAATTCAGGAATTCAGGAATTCAGAAATTCGAAAGTTCAGAAATTCAGAAATTCAGAAATTCAGAAATTCTTTTCTCTTTTTTCACAGAAAAAGATTTTCTAAATTTCCCGAAAATTGGTCAAACGGTTTTCGAAAAAAAATTGTTTTAATTCGATTAATTTTCTACCCAATACCACTCAAGAAAAGTGGTAAAAATCGAAAATTTCGTGAATCAGAGGTGATTGGATTATAAAAAAAGTTGGGAAAAAAGAAAATTGAAGGTCAAAAAAATTTTTAGGAGGGGGCAAAGAAGATAAATGATCTTTAAAATGTTGAATTTTGAAAAAAATGGGAAATTCAGTTTTGGAGAAAAAATTACCCAGGGAAGAAAAAACCCAGGGACCACGGACCAGGACCCCGGACCAGATCCCCGGACCAGGATCCAGGGACCCAGGGACTCAGGGATCCAGAGATCCAGGGATCCATTGAACCAAGGAACCCGTTTTTGTCTATAATTTTTTTCTGAAAAAGAAATATATTTTAGACCAAATTTTCCAAATTTTCCAGCATTTACCACTCTATATTTACCAAAGAGCCAAAAACTATACAATTTATTGACACCTGTGCTATAATTACCATGCTATAATCAAGTTTTCTAGTTAGTCTGGACACGGAAACTTTTTTTGTAGTAGTTTTTGCACCCGAAAGGTACCCAAAACTTGAAAAACTATATTATATTTTCAGGGAACTCAATCACTATCAGTTTCTCAATTTTCAGATTTTCAGAAAAAAAATGGCACCTAGAAAAAAGGATTTAATCGCTGCTGAAATTCCAACCCGTCTTGTCGGCTGTCATTTAATTATAGCCTCTCTAATTGGATTGATTTTCAATATTTTCATGTTTTTCAAATTTTTGGAATTTGAAAAAACCAGTTTCAATATTTTATGCACCTCTAAAACTGTATCCAATTTTCATATTCTGTTTGTGTTTTTAACATATTTAGGATTAAGGAATTTGTTGTAAGTAAATACAGTTCTATGATCTGAGTAAATATATAAATCAAGCAGTTGGTTATGGAATTTATCTCCAAAGACCAATGACCCAATTTCTGATAACAATTAATCGATTTTTGGTGATTTGGCTTTCCCCAACCCATGTGCCTAAATACAGTAATCATGTTAATGTAAGAATATTTGCCCAAACTAAAAATGTGCTAATTATACAAGGGGTTTATTAGAGCTTGTTTAAATGTTTTCTGTCCAACAGTTTTGCACCTGCCACACTCTCCACGACTGTCTCACTGGTTCCGATGAAATCAGCGTAACCTTTGACAAGCTTCTTTCGCTCTCTCAGCGTTACCTGATTCTGCATCGCTTCTGTCCAGCTTTCCATCGTCGCCGTCCTCACTGCACTCTTCTCGGAATCCACCGACTTGTCCTTGTTGCTTCTTGACTTGCTCCCAATCGACGTCATTTCCAAGCCTGAAAACAAATCTTTCCTTCAAAAGAATGTCGGGCTTTTGTTGAATCTTCTACGGATATCGCGTCTTTTCGACAGGCCTTCACCTGATCGAACTCTTCGCTAGGCCTTCACCTGCACTAATGTCCTATTCGCAAATTTTACAAGAATTTCCTGCCGGTTCCTTCAAACTCGGAGAAATTCTTGCGAAATTCACTAATTTTCACAACAATCCTCTCACTGGATCCTTCAAACTCTGGAGAGAATTGATGCAAAAAACAACGAAAAATAGGTAAAAGAATGGATAAACGGATAAAAAACGGTTCGGCCCCCAAATTGCCCGCGGTATGTCCGGGGTATCAGGTTCCTGTGATAAAATAGAAGAAAATCAACGAGAAATGTAACAAAATCGGTTTATTATGAACAAGTTAGAAAGAAACAACAAATAAACCTTAGAATTTAAGCAAACTCACTTTAAATCCTTAAAAGAGTCTCTAGAACAACCACGAGCCAAATCCAAGTTCGCAATCACTCAAAACTAAATTTAAACTGTGCGCGCGTCGAGCGGGATAGCGGAGTGTCGTTGCGTGGGTAGAGGGAACCTTTAGAAGGAGTTGGAGGGTAGCACCAGGCAACTGCAATTTATCATTTTGATACTGCTAAGCAGTACCAAAATCTCGTTATTCTCAACTTCGAACGCCTGTAACTTTTTCCATAGCTCAGCTCATTTCCTAATTTTTGAACCATATGATTGCTGAAAAATAGTGCTTTCATTTGATATAACACAAATTCGTCTGAATTATCAATGCATCAATTATACAAGATCTGCAATAGAGCTTGTTTAATTCTCCCATAACTTTGTTCGAAATCAAGATAGTGATCTGAATTTTGCCTAACCAATACCAAAAACCAAATTTGTCGTGCCTCTCTCCAATTTCTCATTATTTCTTATCTTTTTCTCGCTCTTTCTAGTAGAAATGTATAGTTTTTGACAATAAACATGTTTCGAACAGGTAGGCAAAACAGTTTTGAAGGCCGTTTATCGTTCCGAGGGCAGAGCGACCCAAAAAAAGGGGGCGTTTTTTGCCCATATTTTTTCCCCCATTTTTCTATCCAATATTTCATTGTTATGGTTCTCAACAGCCTTGGTATGTTCATATGTTTTGGCACAACCTATAACTTTTTTTATGTTTTCAGTTTTTTCATCTCCACCTTCAGAACCGATTGAAACAATCGGTCGGCTGGGACCGGGGCGTCCCCAAGACCTGCATCCATTTGTCATAGGTATATTATTACAAAATTTTTCAGAAGTTACGGTACATGTTTAAACAGAAGCCCTTGTGGCTCGACCCTTAACATCTTTCAGGTCAATTATCTCGGTTCCTATAAAATATATCAAAAATCTGTAAATTACGAAAATGTTCCTTACATTCTAAAACTATTTTATCAGTTGACAAGTTGTCAGTATCTCTTATAAGAACCGAGATACAGTACCGGTCAAGAAGAAAAAGCGTGTTTATCAGTTGCTTTCCAGCCATTTTTAGGAGTCAGTGCTAATTATCTCACTTCCTATTAAAGATACAAAAAAAGTTGTTAATTAGTAAAATGTGTAAAATTCAATTTTACACGTCTTCAATACTTACACTTTTGTTGCAGCTACTGTAGTTTTGAAGCTATGCACCTTTAAAGATAACGCTTCTCGTCCGAAGGGGGTTGGAGACGCCCTAACTTTAAAGCGCCTATCTCAATAAGTACGGTAGTTAGACAAAAGTTGGCAATAAGTAAAATGTTTAAAATTTGATTTTACATTGTGAGACGTCCTAACTTTAAATGCGCATAGTTCAAAAACTACGGTAGCTACAACAAAAATGCAAACATAGAGAATGCGTAAAATCAAATTTTACACATTTTATTAGTTGACAACTTTTGTTTAGCTACCGTACTTTTTGAGTTAAGCGCTTCTAAATTTGGAACGTCTACCACACCCTTCCGGACGCGGTTCAGAGAGAAAAAGCCAACTTCAAAAGCGCTTAGCCCGAAAGTTACGGTAGTTACAACAAACTTGCCAACTACAAAAATGTTTCTGATACCATAACAAACATTTTCTCAGTTGACAGATTTTCGATATCTTCTTTAGGAGCCGAGATAATTGAGTTCTTTTTAAATCCCACAAGTTCTTCAAACTTTAAACGTCTATAACTTTGTTTATAGTTCAGTCAATACTTTAATCTTTGTACCAAACGATAGCTGAAAAATAGAGCTTTAATCTGATATAAAATTATTTTCTTGGGTTGAACATGCACCTATCGTTTCAGCGGCCCAAAATATCTACCAAACTTCCCTTTACACGCCTCATTACGATGGTCAAGGCTGTTATTTTCTAAAAATCGTTCAAAAAATGGAACCCGACATTGTGGTATCCGGATGTTGTGTACGAGAACACATTGAGACTCCGGAAAACATGAATGCTCTGGACCATGACCGTCGCAAATGGGTTATCATTGGAATGGATGATTGGTACTCTAAGGTAAGTAGGATTACGGTAACTTTCCTCATTTTAAAATATAATTTCAGGCTATCGATAGGTGCAACGAGGTATTCTTGCGCTCTTGGGTACAAGTGACGGAGTACCCCAGATTCCTGGCAATTTGGGTTCCACTTATCAATCTCGTGGATGACTTTCAGTTCTGTTTTCTGGAGCGCGACCTTCAACGCCTTCAGAAATTCCGAGAGTCTTATGTCGAGAACTCGGTGGTCCTCGAAGTGAGTCAAAGTGAAAAATGTTTCCCTCCACCAACATATGCGATTTTCAGAGACACCTCAATGAACTTATCTTCGGTTTCCGCCCACCGCTTGCAAATGTTCGCCGGGAAAAAAGGAAAAATGTCCTGATGAACTGGTTGGACAGAATTAAAGGGATTTGCGCACAAATTGTGAGTTTTTATAACAGTACCCGTCATTGAGATACGAAAAAAAAAACTTATTTTCAGTTGACTAATTTTATAAGCCATAGCTCAAAAACTGCGGTAGCTATAACAAAAATGAAAAATTAAAAATGTGTAGAATTGAGTTTTACACATTTCTCTAATTAACAACTTCCGTATAATCTTAGTAAAAAATGAACAAAAATGTACAAAAAAAGAAAAGATTTTTCCATTTGCGCCCCCCCCCCCCCTTTGTCATAAAGAGCCAAAAAAGAACCTTTTGATACAAATATTCTCCGGGTACTGTATTTGTTGTAAAATTAAAAATTTCCAGTTGCTCGTTGACACTTTCGCCACCGGCGCTCTATCTAATTGGGACGAGACCTCATTGCACCGAACCGTGATTCGAGTCATTAAAATTGTCAAAGCGACAGAAACAAGTGCAGAATTGATATCGTGTGGATGCTTCTACATTGAAAATGGCATCGGAATTCCGGAGAATCCGTCATGTACTCAATTTTGCGATTGTAATTAGATTATAATTAAAAGTTGTTTTTTTGTCAATTTTATATTATATTTAAATGCTTTTTTGTCTAGATTCAAATTAATGTTTGAATAAATATTATTTACCAGTCTGTTTGCCGCACCTACGACGTTCAAACATCTGGCTGGTGGTATTTTAGTAGCAAATTATCGTTTTACTACTGCTAAGCAGTACCAAAATCGTATTATGGTCAACTTTGAACGTCTATAACTTTTTCATCGTCTTGCTAATTGTCCAATTCTTGCACCAAATGATAGCTGAAACAAAAAGCTTTAATTTGATATAAAAATATTTGCCTAAATCGAAAATGGGTCGATCGTACAACAGTTTTATCGGAGCTTTAACTTTTAATGTCCCATAACTTTCTCTCTCTCTCTCTCTCGCTTCTTATCTCATCCTATCTCTTCCATGTAGGCAAAAAGAAATGTATCGGTTTTCAGTTTGAAAACAAGTTCCGATCAAAAAAGTACACTGTTCTGAAGGCCGTTTTTCCGTCGTTTTGCCCATCAAAATGACCCAAAAAAACATCCCAACTTGTCAGATCAGATTAGGGCTGAAATATAAAAAATTCACTTGTAAAAAAGGGAGTTGTGAGTATCTTGGGAAATTGGGAATTTTCAGAAAAAAACATGAAAAAAATGTAGCAAAAAAAATCAAAATTAGATCGGAATTCGAGAAAAAAGAAGTATCACAGCAACTGAACAGTTCCCTCCTCGACATAGTGCTTCACCGATTGGAACGGAATCAGATGGCACGACGACTTCTCCATCTCCAAAACCATTTCCGCGTTCAAATCCTGCCAATCCGGGATCGCCACGTTGCCAATGTCCTCGCCGAGCACTTTTGCGTACACCATATCGTCCTGATGGTCGGGTCGAGGGACGGACACTTTTTTGAGTGCGGCTGGCATGAATTCTGGAAGAAAATAGCTTCATTTTAAAGTTTTGATACTATTTCTACTGCTTAACAGGTGAAAAAGCTCATTTTACTACTGCCGGGCAGTACCAAAATCGCCACGTGGCAAGTTCTACTACTGCTGAAGGATCTAATTTTCAGAATTTAACGTCCTCAAAATCTATAGAAGCCGGAAAATAATATTTCAAATTTCAGTAGCCCTGATTTTCAGCTTTCATTTAAAACAAGAACCAATTTTCTAACTTGATTTTGAGCAAAGTTATAGGTGTCTAAATTTGTGGGTAGTTCAGTTTTGATACTGCTTGGCAGGTGCAAAAACGCCACGTGCATACTTGTAACGGGCCGGACTTTTTCCCGAATTTCGGAGGCCCGGCCCGGCGGGCCTGTCATTGCACAAGTATTGAAAATTTCAAAAAACACATAAGGGGGACCCTTATGTGATTTGTTTTCGATCAAAAAATATTTTTCGAGTTTTTAAAAAATATTTTTTCATCAAACAGACAAACAATCCAAAAAGCACAACAAAAGTATAGAAAATTGTATTGAGAGCTCAAAATTCGGTTCAAAATGACAAAATATTTGCTACAGGGCCTTGAAATTTTAATCATGCCCGGCCCGGAATTTTACAAGTATGGCCACGTGGGAAATTTTCTACTGCCCAACAACCGGGCAGTACCAAAATAATAGCTTTTCACATTGACAATCAGTTTTTCTCATACTTGCAACCGAGCCTTTGCCGGGCCTTCGCGGGATCTGTCATAGCTTCTTTTAGAATTAATATTTTTCACTCAACTAGCCTTCATGACAAGGCCCGGCCATTTCACTTGTAACTTTGTTTATAGAAAAGACGCAGCTTTCCAAATAGTATCAGTTTGTACTACTCGCCGAGTTCTATCATATCTGATTTAGATAATCTGAAAATATTGTTTCTGAAAGAAACTATGGCAAGACCCGCGAAGGGCCCGGTTGCAAGTATGGTTTTTCTAGCTCAAAAATGTCTTTTTTCACAATTTTGGAGTATTCACATATGCTGAATTCAGAAATCCACACCTAGAACAGTCTTCTCGAAAAGTTCGGCTTCGGCGTTCGCGTATTCTCTAGCGAATTGCAATTCGGTTTCCGACAGCAGCTCGCTCTGATTCTCCTGTGTTCGTCGTTGGTGCTGATCAATCGCGTCGTTCGGGTTGGATTCGATTTTCTGCAGACGGCATCTCATGTAATCCGACGTCATAAAACTGATTCGCTGAAGTTCCATCCGGTGCAGCGAGATGCGCAACTGCATCTTATCCGCCTGCCTTCCGATATTATCCTCCATCCCTTTGATTTGATCTAAAAGAATGTCGACCAGTCCCATTTGCGTTGGAAGCAGACACGGAGCACACAGTTCATTTTGCCACATCATCGTCATCTTCCGAATCACCTCTTCTAGTGTGATACTCTCTTCAAAATCGACGTCATCGGCGGCGCTGTCGTCAATGTTCATACTTGTCACCTGAATTCGTTAAAAACTGATCTAAAAATTGGGTTTGAAAAAGTAAAAAAAAAAACAAAAATTGGTTAAAAAGTGACCTGGAAGGATAAAAAGGAAAATCAAAGAAAATAAGCTTAGGAGGTAACCAATTTGAAATTTGAAAAAAATGGGAAATTATTTTAAGGTTCCGAAAGTTTCATATATAGTGACAATAAATAAAATTATCAGGGGTGATTGGTGATTGGGAGAGAAAGAGAGAACATAAATTTCGAGATAACTTTGATTTTGGAGACGGGGGAAGGATTATGGTACAAGATGCACTTTTTCTGAATTTTTAAAAGAGGAGAAGTATAGCTGAAAAAAATTAAATGATAATAAATTAGAGTAGAGTTAAGATACCAGCTGGTACACATTTAGCGAAGATCATTTCAGTGTTTTGGGTGGGGAAGTGATAAAACATACATGAGAGAGAGAGAGAAAAATCGGGAAAATCAGTATAATTTAAGGATAATTAGCTGTTAATTAATTAATCCTGCTTCTGCTCTCCTTGACCTCCTTCCTCGTGTGACGGTGGTTGATGTGGTGGTCCCATTGGGCCGCCCTGCTGTTGTTGTGGTGGTGGTGGGTACTGGCCGTGCGGTGGTGGTGGCATTTGTCCGTATTGTTGTGGTGGGTAGCCTGGATGACCTGGAAAATTTGAGATTTTTGATAATTCTGTATTTCTGTAATTTTGCTACTGTTAAGCAGTAGTAAACTTCCAGTTTGCTACTGCTGAGCAGGTGTAAAACTGGATTTTGCTACTGCTAAGCAGTGTCCTAATTGCGTTTTGGTACTGCTTAGCGGGTGCAAAAATGTCACGTGGCTGATTTTGCTACTGCTACAGAATGCTTTCAGACCCGATTTTTCTCACTAAAAACTACCAGAATAGCCACAAAACGATTCCTTACCTTGCTGTGGAGGATATCCGTATGGTGCACGTCCCTGTGGCGGTCCTGGATACGGTTGCTGCTGATACGGTCCTCGCTGTTGTGGTGGATAGCCACCCGGATGAGGATATTGTGGCTGTCCTTGCTGTGGATAGTACGGTTGTCCCGGTCCCGGCTGTCCTGGATAGTGTCCCTGTGGTGGCGGGTATCCTGGATATCCTTGCTGTGGTGGTGGTGGTCCTTGTTGATAGCGAGACTGTGGTGGTGGGTATCCCTGTCCTTGAGGTGGCTGCTGTTGACCTGGTTGTGGGTATCCTTGTGGTGGACCTCCTGGATATCCCTGTGGTGGCTGTTGAGGTGGAATCTGCTGTTGTGGCGGAGGGGCTTGTGGTGGCATTTGCTGCTGTGGTGGAATCTGCTGTGGAGGCTGTTGCTGTGGTGGTGGTGGCATCTGTTGTTGTGGTGGAGCTGGCTGTGTTGGAGCAGCGGATGGCGCGCGAGCTTCCGACGTGTCCATTTTCTCTGGTCCAGCTTCAGAGGCACTGACTTGCACTTGTGGTGTTGGCTGTGGTGGACCAGTCACCTCGAAACCAGGTGGCAATCCAGCTGGCAAAGTTCCAGCGCTCGTCATTCTTGTATGCGCCTCGTGCTTGGCACGATTCTCCAAATACTTCAATTGATCCATATGGAACGCCTGACGCTCCAGAATCAGCTGATGACGTTGGTACTCAAGTGACTCGCGTTCCTTGTCCATTATCTGTTCCAACTCGTCAAAGTGACGAAGCTTCATCTCCAACTTCTTCATCTGCGTCTCCACGAGCTGAGCGACAAGCGATTTGATACGACGCTCCTCGATTTGAGCCAAGTGTTTGGCCTTGACAGCTGCGGCAGCTAGACAAGACGCAGCAGCCGCTTGAACTCCTTTATCGATAGCAGTCTTGGCTTGCTCCGTAGTTGGCACGTCTCCAGATGGCTTCTCACTGGTGTCCATCTTCTCCTCGGAATCTGAAAGAATTATTTATTAAAAATTTGTGATTCAAAGTGCTTGAGAATCGCTGAATACCTGCACTAGTCCCCTCTCCATCGTCAGCTGGCTTCAAACCACTCTTCGTGAGTCCAACAGCTCCATCAACCTGTCCAGTCTTCTCCGCCATCGCCGCCACATTCTTCTCATGCGCCTCAGCAACCAATGGTGGAAGTTCCTCCTTCAACTTCGAGAACTCCTCCAAAGCAGCCTTGGTAGCAGCGGCAGCGACCTGTGGATCAACCACCGATGCCAAGAATGCCACAGTCGACATTACTGGGTTGCCAGTTTGAGAGAACGGGATAGGCTGGAAGGCAAGAGGTCCCAAGACTTCGCGAGCGCCATCATCTGCCCCAGCACCTCCAGCACCAGCTTTATCCGTCAGATATGGATCCTGGATGGGAAGTTGGAGGAACTTGAGAACGCATTCGTGTTGGGTGCGGGTGCCAACGTGATCGCAAACTTTGTTCCAGTCATCCTTGAACATTTCCAAGGCCTCTAGCAAGAGACACGTCTCCTGATCAGTCCAGTCACGTCCTGGATTCGCACCCTTGGTCTGGAAAAGGAAACATTAATAGAAAATTAGATCTAATTAGGTCAACTCACTCTCATAGCCATCGCTTGTTTTTGGTACTGATCAGTTTTGAGTCCTGGCTCGGAAATTGACTCAATCTCTGTCTTAATCTCCTCCTTAACAGCAGATTCTTCTTTAGCAGCGGCTGCGGCGTGTGGCGGATTCATTGGCTGAATTCCAGTTGGTGTATCAGCCAAAACCATGAAATGAGAGGTCGGCGGAGGGGCGACAGGCGCCGGTCTCGCATCCGAATCAACCTGATAGTTCAAAAGACCCCATTGCTCTAAAAACGAGTGCAGCCTGACTATCGAGCAAACGTCTCCGGCTAAATTCCGTCGACACGCCGTCGCCGACACATACTCGAACGGATTCAGCCGATAGGTGTCGATCATGAAGTTACGATACGCCACATAGACATCTGGAGTCTTGCTCTTGTTTTTTCCGCAGAAGAACTCGGGCATCGCGCGCTTCTCTATCTGGTGAATAGCGTTGTAGTCGAACCAGGCAGCGTAGGATGGAACGACGATGTAATGGGTCTGCTCGATGACATTGCCTTCGGATGGGGCTGGATTGTTGGCGGATTGAACGCCTTCCTCGTCGAGATCCGTTAGTTTTTGGCCTTTTGGCGCGGAGAATTCGGCGTCTTTTTCCTTTCCTGAAAGATAAATTGTTTGATTATTAGTGGGTAGTGATCTTCCACAGCTTCTAGTTATTGCTTGGCAGTAGCAAAACGCGACGTGGCATTTTTACATGGGTTAAGGCAGCCCTATGCANAGACGCTATCAAGCTGCGAAATCGGCTCTCTATCATTCGTGATAATGTACTTTTAATTCGCCTTTTCGACGACTATCTCTTACGCTTTGAGCTCCAATGGTTCCCATTCGAAGCAGGACAAATCCACGAGGAGGGAGATATCTATCTGAATCGAGTTCTTAGAGAAATGATCATCGGCTTTGAGTGCACCAAATTCGTTCGGCCCCAGTTCTTCTGTTCGATGCCTATAACTCATTTACCGGAAAGTCT